CTAGCGGTAGAGCACCTGTCTAGTAAGTGTGAGGCCCTAAGTTCAAACTCCAGTGCTGCCAAACAAAAGAAAGAAAGAAATCACAAAATATTGTTATAGTTACTATTTTTTGTTTGTTTGTTTTGAGATAGGGTTTTACCCTATATAGCCCAGGCTGATCTTGAACATGCAGTCCTCCTTTCTCAGCCTACTGAGTGCTGCATTTACAGAGGTGTGCCACCACACTGGATTGCACAATATTATACTTTATTAACAGGACTTCTCGAAAACACTGCCTCTCTGAGAGGAGGTTTAAGATGTCTCTCCTGCCAGGAACTAGAGAAAAGGTTAGATCAAAAAGAATTAACCTAGAAGGTAACACACACGCACAGGAAATCAATTTGAGTCAATGCCCTGTATAGCTATCCTTATCTCAACCAGCAAAAACCCTTGTTCCTTCCTATTATTGCTTATACTCTCTCTACAACAAAATTAGAAATAAGGGCAAAATAGTTTCTGCTGGGTATTGAGGGGGTGGGGGAGAGAGGGAGGGGGCAGAGTGGGTGGTAAGTGAGGGGGTGGGGGCAGGGGGGGAGAAATGACCCAAGCCTTGTATGCACATGTGAATAATAAAAGGAAAAAAAAATAAAAAAAAGATGTCTCTCCTAAGCCAGGCTTGGTGAAACACCCCTGTAATTCCAGCACTTAGGTGGCTAAAGCAGGTAGATCCTGAGTTCCAGGGCAGCCTGGGCTACATAGCAAGATGCTGTCTCAAAAACCAAATGTGTTTATTAAATAAAAATAAATGAAACTTGGTGTTACAGTAATAAAAATCTAAGTGTCTGGTATATTTAGAGTAATGGAGTAGACAAAATTGAATTCTTAGAGAAGAATTTCCTAAAGTTCTAGGTCTTTATCCATTGTATTTAACAAGTGATGATTTTATTTTTTGCATGTACTGAACAACGTTTTATGTTTTCTATTATTTTTACATATGGGCAAGCAACATTTATGAGTTCTTTTGTTTAAAAATTCAATAAAAGCAGAACTGTTCTTTATTCTTGATTTTTAAAAATGTACGCCTCTTAAAAGATTGAGATTTTTCATTCAAGTTTATTTTAATCAATAAATGGATTTTTTTCCCCTTATTCAGATGATTTGCATTTTTAGTACTTCCTGTTGTAACTAGATAGTAATCTTCAAAATACATGGCTGGTTTAAACTGTCATTTATCACTTAAACTGCCAACAAATGTGTACCTATACTCACTTGGAAGTTTAACTTTGTACATAGCCTTGTGTGACTAAATAATTAAAATTACCGTTTTGTTAAAAGGATAGAAAATGTGGTGTTGAGGACATTTCTGTTCACCTATATCATTGTCTTTATCACATCTCTGTGGGTCAGGTAATAATATCCTACTCTTCTTTAGTTTCTTGGGTTGCAGCTGGAGTCTGACTTCATTCTACCTTCTTTCCTATTCTGCAGAGAAATAGAGAAAGTGAAGCTGAGGGAGGGGGGAAAGCCCAAACAATGTATAGACATGTAAGTGTAAAAAGGATAAAATAAAAAAAAACACTCAAAAAAAGAAAAAGTGAAGCTGATTATATAGTTGTATATACTGGCATAAAACTGATCATTATGTATTCTTTATCCTCTTTCTTTTTTTTTCCTCCCCCAGAATCCAGATTATCTCCAGTATTCTATCAATGCCTCTCTCTGCAGTTTAAACTCAGTGGTACATAAAGAAGATGATGAACCCAAAATGATGGACACTGTATAATTTGGTTAAGACTGCTGAGGCCAAGTGCTATTTTGTTACATGAAAGGAAGAACTTGGCTATTTTCTTGACACTTTTATGGGTGCTGCACTTTATTTTTGTTCGGTTTTTGATGGGAGGGAAAAAAAAAGAGTACTGAAAAGTTTTGTAACTTTTTTTTTTAATGTGCTGCTAGGTTTTTGTTTTATTTTTTTTTTTCTGAAAGGAGGAGTGGTACCGTATGTTGCAGGAAGTCAAGCTGGACTCTTCTTTTTTCCCCCTTTGGCTACTAAATTGCCTTTAATCTAATTGTTAGCAATTTTGGAATCAAAGTATGAAAATCTGCACAAATGCAATGTTTACAAGAACTGGTTGATTCTAGGAGGCATCTGCTTCATAGTCCCTTTTATATGAATATGTATATGTCCTACTCTATAAAAATAATTAAAGATGAAAATGTACTTGTAGTTCACTGCTAAATTTAGTTGTCAAATCTGGTGTTTCATCCTATTAAAAGCAATAAATCAATAGTTGGTAATCTATTTTACTAAATAAGCTGGGGGCACAAATTCTTAAAAATCTTTCCTCTTAAAAATAGTACTACAGTTGTATTTTCGGCACCATCACTTAAATCCTTGATCATAATATAAACAATAAAAAAAATGTAAATTTGAATTAAAAAGGAAACATTACATTTACCCTAAAATATTCTCAAAACTGTGTTATTTAGTTGTTTTTTACCCTGTTGACCTTTTAAATTAAGGATTATAGAGATACAAAAACTGATGAGCTCATAGTTTTCTGCATTTTTTAACAAGATAAACTTCAAGCTCACTCTTAATTACTTGATGTAGTCTGGGATCTCTCAGGGAGTAAATTTTAAAAGAATACTAATGGTCTGTAAAAACACAGGAAGAATAATATGATTTTAAAAATAATGGTTGCCGGGCACCAGTGGCTCACTCCTGTAATCCTAGCTACTGAGGAGGCAGAGATCAGGAGGATTGCAGTTCGAAGCCAGCCCAGGCAAGTAGTTCCACAAGACCCTAACTTGAAAAAATCCTTCACAAAAAAGGGCTGGTGGGGTGGCTCAAGGTGTAGACCCTGAGTTCAAGCCCCAGTACCACAAAAATAGAAAAAAAAATTATGGTTATTGTTTGCTTCACAAATATCTGGTAGCTAACTGCCTTTGAGCTGCCAACTACTTATTACTAAAAATTTGATAATGGTAATCTTAACTGTAATAAGGACTTTTACTTTGTTATTCCTCTCTTTAGCTCAGTTACCATTCAATGCTTCTGAGCTTTCCTACTTCATATTTAATTCCCTACTAATGTACCAGGATATTTGATAATTCATTTTATTTAGAATTAGATGACAGTGCTAATTATACTATCCTTATCATTTGAGGATTCATCATGTGATTTATAGCAACATGAGCTTTGATTGTTTTTGACTTGTCTTTGGCTCAGTACCCTCTGAGGCTAGTTGGACACGTTTAGAAGATGGCTTACTGGGACTGGGAATACATGTGTCTGATTTGAGAAACCAAATAATAAGCAACCCGTATGGGGGTCAAGACACCTTGGCCTCATTTCTACCTTGTTTAACTGAGGTTTTAGGCACTTAGTACTCATAGAAATGGACTGGAATTATTGACTCATACTTCTGTAATGTCAAAATCTTCCTGGTTCCCAAAATAAAAGTCTTTTTTGTGCTTTTGATATAAATATATACTCTATAATAAAATGTTTGACTAATTTATATGGTAATATTCATCAGCCTGTAACTTTTTTACCAATGACCTAGCTATAGAAGGTTTTTCTTTTTTTCTCTTGTACTAGATGCAGTCTCATTTTTTTCTCTTCATACCAAATGAAGAGAAGAATGGACACAAAAAAAAAATCCCTGGTTTCACAGACATGTTACTTGAACCACTGTTTTCTACTCATCCAACTTCACTTTTCCCTAAAACTTAACTGTGATCATACAAATTGCTTTGACTTTCATTTTGCATTCTTTAATCTGTTCATAGCTGAAGACTAGTGAAAGCATTGACAAACTGAGTACACAATTCCTAAAAGCTTGTCTTTATTTTTAAAGCAGGAATTACAAAGAACTGTTCTTTGAAACTTGACTATAGATATGTATTTTTTTACTTTCAAAAGGAAGTATTCTGTGTTTTAGTATATACAGTGTGATTGAATTTGAGGAACTAGTGCCTGACAATGTCATTTGTACTTAAAGACTTTTACAAAATTACCAGTGCTTTAGTACTAAGAACAGTAAATTGACACCGTTATATTCTGAAAATGCCCTTTAGTACTAAGAGTTGACTTCTTCCAAAATAAATGTTATCTTTTCTGTTTCTTAATAATAAGAGTATATTAAGCAAATGTGTAACTTACATTTTAGGTTAAAAATTTTTTTCTAAACAAATTAAGCCATGGAAAATTCAAACTGAAGAATGAAAACTCTGATACCCCAGTACTCAACAACAGTTCTTATTTTACTGATAAAATTAATCTTCTATAAAAAGGTATTTAAAAAATGAAATAGGTATCACATTTATTCTGTTACCTCAGTGTTATTCTATTAATAGTAGTGGACATAATATTGATTTAAAATTATTACTCTTAAGAGAGCTGCGTAATACTCATATATCATTAGTAGGTGCTTTCAAATTTTACCTTATGATCTCAGTATCTCCTATATAACTTTTCCCTTTAAAAGTGAAGTAACATGCTATCCAAAGAACATGCATCTATTTTAATAAGTGGATTTTCTAACAGCATGAAAAAAGTGGTTGTAGGTTTAGGCAAGGCGTTCCTCAAGTTCACCTTGGGGTATTTTCAGAGAAAAACAATGTCAATTTACCCTTCTCAGAGCAATTCATGCATTTCAGTTCTTGAATTGATGTGGCACAAAAATGGTATCTGAGTTGAGGTTAGGTTTCCCATGTCACTTTTGCCACTGTGTCATGCACATTTAAGTAAGACCTTTCAATCTTCTGCATCTATTCCCATCTGAAATGGACATGTCTGTATTGTTTCATAGGTCTTCCGAGAAACTGAATCGTCTAAAAAAGTATTTGCTTACTATGTAAGTTAATGGAGGGGGCATACAAACATGAATAAAAGTTAATTATGAATTGCTTGCCACCTAATGAAGTTGAAAAATATTCTCATAAGCTTTGATGAATTACATTTGAAATATGCGCTTTCCTAAATATAGGAAGTGATTTTAAAAAGCTCCATATTTTTCATTTGATTATTCATAATTCTTCATGCCATTTACTCTTCAGACACCTGGAATCTTTTGGGAGAACATGACACAAGCTAGACTGATTTACACTTTGGCATGACACTTGAACTTTACTCAGTGCTAGATATGGAAAACTCATGATCATTAGGGAGCTTATTTAAAAAGGCAGAGGGTGGTTAGACACACTGCAAATAATACGGGCTTTTATCAGCTTTTGAAGCACAGCTAGATTATTTTAACTCTTAAATTAATAACTTCCAAAATGAAAATCTTTAACTGCAAGAATAGGAATGCTATTTCTGAAATTTTTCAGTGAGGGTGTTTTCTGAGAAGACAAAATGTATAATGTTTTAAAATGCAAATTGTTGCTGTTGGGTGCAAGTATTAACAGCAGTTTAGTATAATCTAAGCTCTGCAATTACAATGATTTATTCTTAGTATAGGGAAGTTTTGTTCCAAAGTGAGTTTCCAAGATATTTTGCAGGAATGCCATCATTGTATATAGCTGCGGGGAGTAGTCATGGGCTGGAGTTCAGAAATTTGAGCCAGTATGTAAGCTATTTCAGATGGTAGTGAAATTTCTGGGTGGTACAAAAAAACTGCCATTTTGCATTTCATGTCTCACACTCTGCCCAGAAACAAGGGTAATAGTTTTCAGATACTGTTCCTCCTTATCCAGGGCAGTCAGCTCCAGACATATTTCCATATGGCACAAAAATCCTAACTCGTCATTGCAGCATTATGTTTTTTAACAATGCACTCACCAGTGATACTCCTGGCACTGTCTGTGACATCATCTCATTCAGCAGTTCTTTTGTTTTAATGAAAAAAGTCATACACATTTCCCAAAGTAAAGGAAGTATGTGTAAAACTTAGGTTAAGTGTTTTGGGGGCAGGGAAGGAATGGTCACAGGAAAAAAGAATTTTGATTTTAATAGTGTGTTTTTCAACCCTGTCCTTGATTTCCATGTCTCTAAGGAGATATGAAAGCCAGTAATGGCTGCCAATACTGTAACTGGAGATAAATGCACAAAATGAAACCAAATCAGGTACTGTCCTAAGACAATTTATTAGAACAAGGCCAATGAGAAGTTAGTACAGCAGAAAGGAAGGTGGGGTGGAGTGGGCCCTAGGACCAAAGACAAAGTAATAGCCACAGTGCTGACATTTCATTATATTCTAAGAGATTAATGTACGCCTGACAATCTAGTGATAATTCCTAAGTTTTAGGTAGTTCACAGCTTTTTTAGATAGCACATAACATTTAAATAAGGCATTATAGAAAGTTTATATTACAAAGGACAAGATGTTCACTGTAATTCTTTTTAAAAGCCTAGTTCATTTTAAAAACTCAACAATGAATTTTTAAAAATAAAGAGAAAAATTCTGTATCTGCTCCCCCTAAATATGTAAGAGCCCCTGGCTGGCATGTGTATTCAAAGCCTGGAATAAAATGAACTAAATTTCCAAAGGCAATATCAGCTTGTACAAAGTCTTGATTCATTTGATTTAGCACCAAGGAAGAGTACATATCCCATGGAAGATATAATTGTTTTTTTCCTCTACCTCTCATGTTGCCTCACTTCTACCCACAGTACATAAGCACGCAACTTTGTTGTCCCATTAAGGAATCTAAAATGATTTAGGATATAAAATGACTGCTCAGGCCAGGCATGGTGATGTACACTTTAATCCCAGCCCTCAAGAAGCTGAGACAGAAGAATCTCAAATTCAAGGCTAGCCTGAGCTACACATCGAGATCCTGTCTCAAAAACCAAGAACTGGGGATGCAGCTCAGTGGCAGAGAACTAGCCTAGCACGTTTGATCCCCAGCACCACAAACAAAACAACAGCAAAAAAACCTGCTCAGATGACACCAGCAGAGGTCTTCCCTGCTGAACTCACCTGCTGTAACTGCAGGACTCAGTAAGCTGAGGCATAAGGATCTTGAGCTCAAGGACAGCTTGGGATCAAAAGAGGGGAGGGGCCGAGAGGGTGGCAGTAAACAATAGCAGGTGTCCATTCCTTTGAGGAATAAAGGTTTCCTTTAGTGAACTCTGGTCCTTTTTTAACCTATCATGTAAATTCTTTTTATTGCCGTACCTGTTTACTAATTATGATTGGTATTTATGTTAAGGGAATATTTCCCAGGCATCCTGATCTATTTCTATTTCCTTAATAACAAAGTGTGCCAGTTTTACATAGTGACATGGGTTTTTTCTTACTCTTGTTTTTTTCTTTTTACTACAACTTGTTTATCAAGGCAGACTGTGTGTTCCTAAGAAAGAGGAACAGACAAGTAGACCCTAAAACATTGATTTCTTAACCTGAGTAACATCTAAAAATCAAGGACGGTACACTGTCCATTGAAAAGTGACTCAATATTGGTGCGTATCTAGGAACTTATAATGTCAATTTCTGACATAATCATATCCTGCAGATACATGTATTTTCAAAAGAAAACCATATTAAGGCAATGTTTTCTTATATGCTAATTGATACTTTTTTAAAAAACTGAATAAACTGAAGGTATGTCTCACAACAAAATAAACACAGCACATGTGGCTAGCATTTGTGTTTTCTTAGCGTAAAGGCAGCAGTGAGTTGGTATCGTGCAACAAACCTGTAAATCCAGTTGAGTTTCTTCCTGGAAATATTACATGGTGTTGCACAAAACCATGTCCCCAGGGCTAGGAAAAAGTCTTTCAACACTGGTCTGAGCAAAAGCCAATGATGAGATATTTCCCACAAATGACATATAATTTTAACGTTTCCAGAAAAATATGAAAATTTAATGAACCATTTTCCTCTCACAGAACAAAAAGTTAAATACTGCCAATTTAATTTTAATTTTGCTCTAAAAGATTTTTTTTTACAGTTTCAACATCTCTAGTGTGTCTTTTTTTTTAATTTATACACCCTTAGAAAATAAGTGGATAAAACATACTAGATGATTTCAAAAGATCAATCTTAGTATCTGACTCATTTGGCACATCCTTAGTAATATCCAGAATAAAATCAGTAGAAGTAAAATATAATTTTCGAAGAAAATGCTGAGTCATAGGAAAAGCAGCTGCTTAATACAAAGACAGGTGGTTCCGCTCATCTGCCATCTTCCTCAGGGAGTATCTGAGGGTTTCTGGCTCATTTCTGGAACTTTGGTTTGCAGGAAGGCATATACATGGGGCCAGATCTTGTTAGTTTCTGTTCCAGAGAATGTTTCCAACACACCCTTTTTCCTAAAGATGAAAAATGAAACAATAAAAAACACAGGTCTTAGTTTTTCCTAATTAGCTTTTTCAAAGATTTTCTGCAAAAGGTGATAATGTGCACTTAAGTACCGACCTATGTGACCAAAAGAGCCAGGAACTTGGCAAGGCACTGGAAACCTATGTCTTAAGTTTGGGTTGGGCCCTGTGGCTTTCTCACCAGGCAGACTTGTTTGGCTGGTCACTAGACCAGCAGCCATATGTTTTATTTACTCCAGTTTCCAACAGGTAATATGATGAGGAGTGAGGATCAGAATCCTGGGGTTGCTTTTCAAACATAGACTCCTCCAGAGATTCTGCACTCTCGCTAACCCCTTTCCTCCACCCCATGCACATATACACAGTGGCTTAAAGGCCCCATGAAGCTACTGAAGAACTCCTTAGTTTTTAAAAACAAGATCAGTCATACCTCTGCAACCATTCTTAAGAGGTTTTCACAGGTTTCACTCGGGACAAAGGATTCCTTTCTTGATAACTCAAAAATTTCCCACAATTAACTTAAATAGCACCCACTGTTTTCTTGGTAAGAAACACTTGCTACTGAGAGAAATTATGCAAATACAGTATTCTTTACATAATAGAAGCCCTTTAGCTTCTAAAATCACAGGCCTCTAGTAAACCTTTCAAGAAAATAGCTTCTCACAGTTGTAAGCTTCTTAGAGTCATTTTAACATCAAGCCACAGTGTCACAGTGGGTTTTTACTGGGGGCAGAACTACAGCACCTGTTTAATCCTAAAGTTGTACCTTGAATGAACATTTGTCACTTTAATTTCTGTGTAATAAAATGGAACCAGCTCCAAAACTTAGTGCTCCAAGTAGGAAGGGTATCACATTGTTTGCAAACATAGACTAAGCATAAAACAGCTGAGAACTCAGAGTTTTAAAGAACAGTGTTAACTCTTAGCATTTTTAAATAACAACGCTTAACTATTACTAAGGTTCTTAACAAATACCACTTTTAGTTGTATTTTAGTTAAGTCCAGCTTTAGTTCTATATGTGAGAACTTAGAAGAAGGTTAAATTAATGACAAGAGGTTGCAAACGTCATAACTCTAGGAAGAAAGACCAGGATATCTTGTTAAGATAAGGACCCCAACATCCCTCATTTTGGCAGAACTAATCCCTACTGGGACTTCCTCTATTCATTGCCTTGTGGTGGTGGTGTTACTGTCTGGCAACAATTCAATCCCCTTCTGGATACTATTGGCAAACAACTTCCTTCCCAGAGCCTGGTCCATGAAGTTCAGGCCATATTGTTCCCACTCCCGGTCTTCAGTGGTGGCATGGGCACAGTTAGTTGATGTCAACCCCAGGACTTCTGCTGGCAAAAGAAGTTCTCTTTTCTGCTGGTTAGCTGAGGTAGAAGGAAAGCTGGAATGTTGAGGGATGCCTCATGGAGGGAGCCCACCTGAGACTGAAGTCAATACAGGTGATCTGAGAGGTACTGAGGCTTGATAACACTTTTTTGACACCTGGACCAGCCATTTTCCTTCGGACCAACAAATCCCCTTTCGCTTAAGCAGTGTGAATTAGGTGCCTGATTAATACAAGCACATGTGACATTGCATAATAAATATTGCTTTCCCAGCGCTCCACCTCACCCACCAACAGAAGTAAGTTTCTTTGAGCCTGATAGTAACTGTGTCTCAGCACCAGTGTGGACCAAGGCTGGCAAAGTATCAACAGAGTAGGTAATAATCACTGACACTGGACGTCTAGTAACACCAGAGCTGCATTAAGCCTTCCATGGGTTCTCTCACTTCAATTCCTTAACAGCTCTATAAAGTAGGTACTATTTAATACAGCCTGATTTTATACAGAAGGGATTTGAGGAGGCACGGAGGTTAAATGCATTGCCCAGGGCCACAGAGCTGGTAATTTATACATATAAATTATATATAATCTATACATACAATTATAGTAACAACTACTGTAGAAAGTGAATCATCACTTTTATAATTTCACTCTCTAGAAATAGCTATTAAAACAGTTTGGAGACATGAGCTTCAGATTTTATGTATACTTGTCTAATTACAACAATTAACTACAGCCATAATAACAGCTAATATTTATGTGGTGCTTTACTATGTGTTAGGCAAAAATTTTTAGAGTTATACATATTAACCAACTTTCAAGGCCCTATTCTCACCTTCAATTTATAAAGGAGAAAACAGGCAGCGGATAAGAAAGAAGTCAGGGCCACATTAATTAAACAGTGACTTGGGACTTGAACTTGGGTGTTCTGGCTCCAGAGTCTGTGCTTTTACAACAGTGTACTTCCTTGACCCTGAATCATTATTTATTAAGTGAATGAATGAAAGGAAAGAGAAGGCAATAATCCTTTACAAGAAGGAAGTGCTGAGTAAGGAAGCAAGACTGGTTCTTAGCCTGAGTTAAATATTAACTCAGTGTAGACATGGTATGTTATATGATATCAGTTCCCTGAGAAGCAGACAAGACCATGTTAGAACGAAAGCTTTTAACGATTAGCCAAATAAACGGTCTGAGGGCTAGTTGTCGTTTGAGAGTCTTGTGTGCTAAAACATCCTGTCCTTGCACATGTGGAGTGCTTTACTAGGCTTGCCTCCCCAGCACTCCTTCCAATCCTCCCTCTCTTCACTACATAGCAGAATTAGGTTGAGAATGGTCCACTCCTAGCTCTGGGGATGGACTCATCAGTATGATCCCTCCTAGCGCAGTGACTGGCTCAGGGATAGGCAGTAACCCAGACCTAGAACAGTAAGTGCCTGATGTTCCCTGACCACAGTGGCTGTTCAGTTAGTTTAATTGGAGTGATGCTCCAAGCTTTTGTTCATTTGGGTAAAAGGTCGCTGTTCAGTCCTTCGTGAAAGAGGAAGCCCTGGCTGTTTCTGGCAAATGTCTGCAACCATGCAGGGAGCACAAGGACAAAGCCAAAACACAAAAGCAGGCAAAGCTCAGAGAATGGTAAAACTCTGATTAAACCTCAGTCCTGAAGCCCTGCCCGCCTCTGGACTTCCTTGTTGTATAAGTTATAAATTTCCTTTATTGCCTAAGCCAATTGGAATTGAATCTTCTGGCTATTTTAGCATTTCAGCTGTAAAGTATGGAAAATTAAAACTTGAATTAGTGCTTCATCGTATATAAGAGAAGTTTCGAAAAGCAAGAACTCACTGGTAATAGTCCAGGACAGGCTCAGTTTGGGCTTCATAAGCCTTCAGTCTCTTGATCACTGTCTCTGGTCTATCATCCTCACGCTGAATCAGTGGTTCACCAGTCAGATCATCTATGCCCTAAACAGGAGTCAGAAGACAGGTATCAAATATTCAAATATCATATCTCTAAAGGATATCTTTATAAGCAGTTCAGTTCTTTTTAAAACAGACATCTCTTTGCAAGCATCAATTGCAAAAATGTGTTAATGTTTAAATAAATAGAAGCCAACCCAATGACAGATCATCCAACACAGAATCACAAGACCCTGGGATCATTTCCATAGTGCTATAGTTTGGATTTGGAATATGCCCTAAAGGCCAGTGTGTTGAAGGCTTGGTATCCAGGTCATGGCACAATTTGGATATGGTGGAACCTTTAAGAAGTGGCACCTAGTAGAAAGTCTTAGGTCTCTGGGGCATACCCTTGACTGAAACTGTGGGACTATGGTATCTGTCTGTCTCTCTCTGGTTATACTGAGGTTTGAACTCAGGTCATTGTGCACATGCTAGGTAGGCACTCTGCCACTTCAGCTATACCCTCAGCCCTTTTCACTTTAGTTATTTTTTTAGGTAGGGTCTTATGATATTTGCCCAAGCCAGTTTAGACCATGATCCTCCTACTTTCACCTCCTGCATAGCTGGGGTGACAGGAGCACACCACCATACCCATCTTGTTTGCTTAGATGGGGTTTCATTAACTTTTTGCTTGGGCTGGCCTCCTAAATTAGCTGTGATTACAGGTGTTACCCACCATGCCTGGCCTCTTTTGCTTCCTCAACATAAGGTGAGTGGTTCTGTTCTGCCATGCACCACCAACATGATAGGCTGCCTCACCACAGGCCCCAAAACAGTGGGCTAATTGATCATGAGCTGAACCTCCCAAACTGTGAGTCAAAATAAACTTTTCTCCTTATAAATTATCTCGAGTTTGTTACAGTAACAGAAAGTGAACTAGCATAGTTATCAGTCACCTCTCCTTAGTAAAAAGGTTTTCTAACTGCCATCCAAGTAACTCTGTGTGTGTGTGTGTGTGTGTGTGTACAAAAAACTTCAGTTATTGACTGAAAATTTCAACTGTAAGCCAGTGTCAAGTCCTCACTGCCTCTGCTCCTGACACATTCCCTGGCATAGAACAGGAAATCAATACATGTTTTTTAATGTATTAGTCAGTTTTCTCATTGCTGACCAAAAGGAAGAAAGAAAGGAATTACTTATTTTGACTCACAGTTTCAGAGGGTTCAGCCTACGGTTGTTTGGCCCTGTGTATTTGGGTAGAACATCATGGCAGCCGGAACATGTGGCAGAGGACATCTTTACTTCATGGTGGACAGGAAGCAGAGAGCAAGAAATGATCAAGGCACACCCCCAGTGACCCATCTCTCCAGCTAGGTCCCACTTCCCAAAGTCTCCACCATGTCCTAAAATAGCACCGCTAGCTGGGAGCCAACCATTCAGCACATGAGCCTGGGGGACATTTCATATTCCAAGCCATCAGTCTCTGAAATGAGTAACAAACCCATTGCTGTAGAGCACCTTTACCACCAAGCTGAGTGAACTAGACCTATTGACTATACCAAGTAACCTGAAAATATACTCTCGGAGTTTTGGTCAGGCAGAGGATGTCCAAGTTCACAAAGGTTATATCGATGAGGGCAAGAGGACTCAATTCCGCTGTAACTACTCACCACAGTTTTTGGAGGGTTGAATTCAATGTTGTAGACTCGGCCACTGGCTGGATGAATCCAGCGAGCAGTGAGGCGTTTCTTAATGACCTCAAAGGGCACATTCAGGTTAATGACTGTGTCTATTTGATAACCTTTATCCAGGGCTTCTGCCTGTGGAAGAGTCCTTGGAAAACCTTTATAAGTGAAAAGTAAAATAAGTAGGAAGAAAGGGAGGGAGAGAGTGGGACGGATAAAGAAAAGAAGGAGAGAAAGAAGAAAGAATTAACATTGGGCAGTCTGAACCAAAAGAATAACACCAGGCAGGCAGATCGAGCTATAGTAAAACTGTGCTCGTTAATGTTTTTATGTGTCACCTTGACCGGGCCATGGGAGTGCCCAAATATGTGGTCGAACATTCTCGGTATGCATAGGAGGTATTTTTGTATGGTTAACATTTAAATAGGTAGACTGAATGAAACATATCGCCCTCCTCACAGGGATAGGCCTCAGCCAAGCAGTCTGAAAGCCTGAATAAAATAAAACTCTCACCCTCCTCCAAGTCAGGGAGACTTCCTCCTGCCTAATTGTCATCTAACTGGGCCATCCACATTTTCCTGCTCTTGAATGAACACTGAACTCAAGCCTACAATTCCAGTACTCAGGAGACTGAGGCAGAAGGATCAGGAGGTTGAGGCCAAGCTGGACTATACAGTGAGACCCTGTCTCAAAAAGCAAACAATAACAGTAAGACAAAACTGACTTCACCAGCTTCACTCAGAATCTTAAAAGGCTAGTTTTGGAGTTTGACAGAAAACTATTAAAGCAAAAGAACAAGCCCAAACAAATAAACCCGTTTATACAATCTGAGCATCTCTGATCCAAAAATCTGAAATCCAATGATGCCCAGAAAGTTTTAGGTTTTGGAGCATCTTGGATTTGGGATTTTCAGATTAGGGATGCTCAAATGGTAAAGTCCATTCAAATATCCCAAAGTACAGGAGTCTTCTGAAATCTGACACTCTTCTAGTCCCAAGCATTTCAGATATGGGATATTCAACCAGTGAAGCTAAAATAGTTTAAATGGTGTGGTTCAACAACAGAGAAAGGCAAATATAACTGTTTAATGACTCCAAGTATATTATGGGATTAAAAACAACATTTTTAATGTTGCTTAAAAACAACATTTTAATGTTAATTTTTAAGTTTTTGACTTTACAATGTTGTTACTAAGGACATCTTATCTAGAACACAAGGAAAATATTTAAATTGGTGGAAATAATACATTTTTCAAAGGTGAAGGTTATATTGAACATGCAGTAACTCACTAGAACTAAAAATACGTATCTTGCTAACACTGAAACATGGAAAAATGTGCCTGTGACTTAGGCCTTCTACAATGATAAAATAACAATTAGGATACCTGAATTTCGAGGAAATTGCCTCCAAAGAAAGCTTATAATGGCAAAAAGTTCAAGCTACAAAATTTTATTTTGACCCAAAACTGAGTAACAAATCAAGCTTGTATATAAAAATTTACAATGGGGGGAGGAGGGCATGGCTCAAGCAGTAGAGCCTAGCAAGCACAAGGCTCTGAGTTCAAACCCCAGTACTGCCAAAAACAATTTTTTTAACTGTACATAAAAATTCACAATGAAGTACGTGACCCTGATAAAAACAATTTTAAAGGAGAATGATGGAGGGGGTGAATTCAACTATGACATATTGTAAAGGTCACAATGTACCCTCAGTAGAACAATAATATGATAATAAAAATGTAAAAACAAAAAATTTAAAATTTAAAATATTTAATAAGAATAAATGGAAAATAACAGGGAAATCTACTGAGTGTTTTCCAGGGGCAAGCTCTATATGTTAAATGTTCTACAGGAATCATTTCTTTCAATTGTCATAATAACCGTGAGAAGTGCTGTTTCTATTACCACTTTATGAATGAGGAAACTGAGGCACAGCAAGGGTAAGTAACTTGCTCTAGCTCACAAAGCTATTAAGCTGTGGAAGTGGAATTTGAACACAAGCTGTCTAACCCAATATCTATTCTTGTTCCAATAGAGTTTACCCTGGAAAAAAAAAGTCTCAATAAAACTACCTCTCTATTGGTATAATTCTGACTAGAATGTTTACTCTCAGAAACTTAGAACTAAACTTCCACTAGAACAAAAGAAGTGAATCAAAATCCCCTCTACCAAGAGAAGCACAAGTGCAAAGGTGCTTTTGCAGCATCATTCCAAACACTGAAAAGCGGAATTCAACCCAATTGCTCTTCAGGAGGGGCTTAAAGTGTGACACATACAGAAAATGCAAACTTATCCATCTTTAATTCTATGAGGCCAGTGCAGTGTATGCTGTGGTTTGTATATGAGGTATCCCCCAAAGGCTTATGTGCTAAAGTTTTGGTCCCTTCTAATCATTGAGAGATGATTGGATCATGGGGCTCTAACTTCATCAATTGATTAATCTGTCAATGGATTCATAATCTGATGTCATTTCTAGGTTCTACCTGGTTGGAGGAAGCAGGTCACTTGGCAGGGGGAGCGGGGACATGCCTCTTGTCCCTGGCTATCTCCTCTCTCTGCATCCTGGCCTCCATGAAGTGAGCAACTCTGCCCCACTATGCCCTTTCCACCACAATAGTTTGCCTCACTATGGGCCCAGAAGAATGGAGTCAGCCAGCAAATCAGTCTTTCCTCCTTTAAGTTGTCTCCCTTGGGTATTTGTCACAGCTATGAAAAGTGACTCTGGGCCTATTTCTACTTTTATTTTGTATTTCTGGTCAGTGAAATCAACATTTTAATAAAGGGAACTGACTCAAAAAAAAAAGAAAAGTGACTAACACAATATATAAAGAAAAAAATATTAGACATTACTTGGGGGAGAAGGAACTTTATTTCATGTCTTATATATATTACATATTCAGAATTATGTATATATGAATGTATATTTGTATTTTGTCACTAAGTATAGAAACAGCCTGTTTGAATTACATAGCAAAACAATGAAAAGTAGTTGTTCCTGGATCATTGAGGACTTTGAGTCCCTCTTACTGTATCTCTCTTTTTAATTTTTAAAAGGAAAAGGTATTACTGTAATATAACAATGACAAAAAATAAAAAACAATAAATGCTCAACATTCCAGGCTCTTCCCCATGGGTCTTTGGTGCACTCCTCACATACACTTCATTGATGACCATGTTGGTCTCACACAAAACTTGTCACTTTCCTGTACTGGGCAGTTTCCCCACTCTGCCTTTACAACCCTATTTCTGCAGCCTAAATGACCCTCATAAGGTCTCCCACAAATGGGAATGCTTCCAAACCCCTACCACTCATATAGAAGCAAGACTTTTCATTAAACTTTTTAAAATAAAACTCTGAACTATCTATCTATTTTTTTCTATTAGGAAAGAAACAGTAAGTAGCTACCTCCCCATCACATTACGCTATTCACATCAACTTTTAATTTGCTTCAGACCATCTTTTGATATGTAGACTTATCCAAATGTTTGTTTGCTTGTTTATTGCTTGAGTATACTTCCCACAAAAAAGGCAAGGATTTTGTTCACATTTAGGCTTAGCAACTAATGTTCACAGACTTTGGTACACAAAAGGCATTCAGTTAGTATCTGTGTAATGAATATATGAAGCCTGGGCACGTTATAGCATCTAGTGTTTAATGCAGTCTCTACATACCAAAGACCCTTCACAAATGTTTCAGGAACTTTTGAGTCCTCAGTATTTTGTGCAAATATTGATAGTAGGCACAGTCAATGAACATGTACGCAAATCTGATTTTTTTCTTCCTGATAGTAGCTCCAACAAGTAAACCAGAGTAAGTGCTCTGCCCAACCTTTCCCTTTATTTGTCCTCCCCTTCACCTTCATGGTACAATTTTAGTACATTTGGAACCTTTGTGCAATTAGAAAATAGTGTGCCTTCTTCTTGGATAAAGCAAGCGAACAGGGAAGGACAGGGTGAGAGCAGTGTAGAGTGTATGTGCATGAAGGTGGGGAAATGGTGTTGAGTAGGAGAGAAGAAAAATATAAATAGCAAAGCTAGGTCTGCATACTCTCTTCCAAAACGGAACACTGTAACTTTGATCTTGAAGGGAAGGCTGATCCCATTTTTTAAAACAAATCTCTTTTGTGTCCTCTTTATATCAACAAAGCAATGATTAGAAACTACAAAGCAGCCTGGCACTATTGGCTCATGCCTGCCATCCTAGCTATGTGGGAGGCTGAGATCAGGAAGACTGAATTCTAGGCCAGCCCAGGCAAAAAGTTCATGAGATTCCATCTCAACAGAAAAAGCCAGGTGTGGTGACATGCACCTGTCATCCCAGCTACTGCAAGAAGCATAAATAGGAGGACCGCAGTCCAGGCCACACCAGGGGTGGGGGGCAGGGGGAGACACATACAAAGCAACCTAACCTCAAGGATTCTGCCACACCTGACTGATGAAGTCTACAGTTTACCCTAAGTTATTCTTGGGCCTTCCTTCTTTTGTAGTGATCCTTCTTCGTCATAAAATAATCTCAAAAGTGTATGTGGGTGGGTGGGGGGACTAAAGTTACATCTGAAGGAGCCTAGAAATCATGCAGCCCACTTCCTTCTTTTCTTTCAGATAAAAAATTAGGCCCAAAGAAAGTGACTAGACCAAAGCCTCAGGATAGTGAGTGACATAACTCAGGCTTGAGTTCTTGATTGCCATCCATAGTGACTGTCCGTAGCCCCAAATGCTCATTCTCCTGCAGCATGAATCATTCTAGGCAGCTGAAATGCTCACAATATTCTACTTACCATCCAACAGCCAGCTATATTGGGTGAGATTTTTCAGCTCATGAAGGACCAGCCGAGTCATGACATCATCTGGGATGAGCTTCCCTTGGTCAATGAAAGTCTTGGCTAACACACCAATTTCTACAGCAGAGGGGGAAAAATTGGTAAGTGCATTTGCTTTATCCTATTCCAAGTCCCTAAGGGCCCCTAGTTCCCTAAAGGGGGCTGTCTACATGAAAAATGGGTAGCACCAGCTTTTCTGCTAAAACAGGTTACCAAATAATTTAAGTCTATTTCAAATCCTTCGGTATGTAAAATTGTGCAAGTGTAAATATGTATATAGAAAAAATAATTCAGTGCTATTGGCCAATATTTAACAGTAGTCATCTCTGCATGATGGAACTGGGTGACTGACTTTTACATATTTGCACTTTTCTGTATTTCCTAAATTTTCTATCAGAAAACAATACATGGAATAAGTGCAGTTCTTTTCTTTTTAATATAGCCAGAAACAGCCATTTCGAGCTGGACACCATCTTAGCGTGGAGATTTGTCTAACCCTCTACATCGCTGTTGCTGTAATAATAGAATTCAATTTTGACCACATTAGCACTGTGATCATGTATTTTTATTTCATTATTGAAATACCTGGAAAAGGATTTATGAGCAATTGTAAAACATTACCCACACTGTATGCCATTCCTGTGCACAGCAGTGCAGCACTGTTGGACTTTTAAGTTATTTAAATTGCTCTTGGTTTTTCTTCATCACTTCTGCTTTTAAGATTTTACTACCCTTTCTTTTTCTTTTCTTCTGGGTTTTTTGTTTGTTTGTTTTGATAGTTTTTCTTTTGTCTTCCAAATTATTCTGATCAATAAATTCCCAGGAATCAGATTAAAGGGTCATAGTATATATGATAGTTTTCTTGGTGTGACTTGTCATACAAACCTCAAAACATTCCATTGTCAAATTTATGACACTTGATACTTGAACCAAGAATTAACTGCTTAAGAGCTGGGAGCATAGCTCAAGTGGTAGAGCATCTGCCTAGCAAGCGTGAGGCCCTGAGTTCAAATCTAGTACTTCCAAAAAAAAAAAAACCTGACACAAAAGGGGGCTGGCAGAGTGACTCAAGTGGTAGAGTGCCTGCTTAGCAAGTGTGAGGCCCTGAGTTCAAACTCCGGTACCAACAACAAAAAAAAAAGTAATGGAAGAAAAAAATTTCTCTTTGGGAGCCAATTTTTGTAAATCATGTCTGATAAGGATCTTGTATCTAAAATATGTAAAGAACTCTTAGAACTCAACAACAGTAATAATAAATTTTAAAATGGGCACAGGATTTGAATACATATTTCTCCAAAGAAGATACACAAATGTTTGCTCAAGAAGTACATGAAAAAGATGCTCACCATTATCAGTCATTAGGGAAATGCACATAAAAACCACAGCGAGATGCCACCGCACACTCACTAAGAGAGCTATACGCAAAAGGACAGATAGTAACGAGTACCAGCAAAAATGTGAAAAAACTGTTGACCCTCTGCCATTGCTGGTGAATGGATTATAACCTGTGTAGCCAATTTGGAAAACAGTAGGGCAGTGTTTCAAAAGCCTAAACGAAGTTACTATATACTTGGTAGATACCAAGAAATTTAAACTATATATAGATATGTCCACACAAAAAATTTACATGAATGTTCATAGCAGTATTATTCAAAATAGTCAAGAAGTAGAAACAGACCAAATGTGCATCACCTGATGAACAGATGAATAAAATGCGCTATGTCCACACAATGGAATAATTCATCAATAAAAAGAAAGGATGTACTAAGACATTTTACACATGGGTGGAACTTGAAAACATTATGCTAAGTGAAAGAAGCCAGACACACACAACACACACAAACTGCATGACTCTACTTACAGAAATGTCCAGAACAGGCAAATCTATATGGACAGAAGATTAGTGGCTGCCTAGGGCTGGGGTGGTTAGGGAGAAATGGAAGTGACAGCTAATAGGAATAAGGTTTCTTTTTGAGGTTGGTAATGGTTACACAACTTTGTATGTGCTAAAAACTACTGAATCATACACTTCATAGGGTTAATTTTAGGATATGTGAATGAATTATGTGAAGTTTTTGTTTTACTTTTCTTCGTAGTTTTGTCTTGTTTGTGGTGCTGGGAATTGAACTCAGGGCTTTGCGTGTGCTAGGTAAACACTTTACCACTGTACTCTCATGGTCTGCCCCCATTCAGCGGCCATGGATCAAACCCAGGGCCTTGCACATGCTAAGGACGAGCTCCGCCGCTGAGCTATCATCCCAGGTCAAATTTTGTTGTTGTTGTTTAAAGAAAAAGAGCTGTATGCTGGTGGCTCAGGCCTGTAGTCTTAGCTACTCAGGAGGCAGAGATCAGGAAGATCGTGGTTCAAAGCCAGCCCAGGCAAACAGTTTGAGAGACCCTATCCCGAAAACACTCAACACACAGTGGAGTGTCTCAAATGGTAGAGTGTCTGCCTAGCAGGAACGAGGCCCTGAGTTTTAAACCCCAGTACCCTCCCCAAAAAAAGAAAAAAGTAATAAAGAAAAAGTGGTGGGCATGGTGGGTACACTGCCTGTAATCCTAGCACTATCTGCCCCCATTCAGCGGCCATGGATCAAACCCAGGGCCTTGCACATGCTAAGGACGAGCTCCGCCGCTGAGCTATCATCCCAGGTCAAATTTTGTTGTTGTTGTTTAAAGAAAAAGAGCTGTATGCTGGTGGCTCAGGCCTGTAGTCTTAGCTACTCAGGAGGCAGAGATCAGGAAGATCGTGGTTCAAAGCCAGCCCAGGCAAACAGTTTGAGAGACCCTATCCCGAAAACACTCAACACACAGTGGAGTGTCTCAAATGGTAGAGTGTCTGCCTAGCAGGAACGAGGCCCTGAGTTTAAACCCCAGTACCCTCCCCAAAAAAAGAAAAAAGTAATAAAGAAAAGTGGGTGGGCATGGTGGTACATGCCTGTAATCCTAGCACTAAGAAGTCTGAGGCAGGCAGATAATGAGTTGGAGACCCTGTCTCCAAGAAAAAGAGAGAGAGAGAAAGGACGGACTTAACTCCCTACTTCAGAGGTTCAGCAGTTTGCTTATTACATTTTAAATTTTACTCAATCCCAAAATTATATGCAAAGACTGCCACCCAGAAGGCTTTTTGACCATCTGGCAAATTTGTATTCATTTGATTGCCTATAATTTAATATTACTGTATATCTTAATATACTTTTCATTAAAATATAATTTACTTTTTAATTCAAAATTGAATAAACTTGGTGCCAGAGGCAGGACTCAAATGGTAGAGCACCTGCCCAGGAAGTGCAAGGCGCTGAGTTCAAATCTCCATACTGCTAGAAAAAAAAAAGAAGAAAAATTAGCAAATTTGGGAACTACCACACCTATAGAACACCAGTTAAAAAGTAAATTACTCAGGGCTAGGGTATGGCTCAAGTAGTAGAGCACCTACCGTGCACACCTAGCAAACATAAAGGCCTGAGTTCAAACCTAGCGCCACCAAAAAAAAAAAAAGTAAATTACTCATAATAAGGGAAGGTCACAGGCAACTTTCAAGGACAACTGGAAAGCAGACTTTAAAATATATACTACATAAAAAGCCCTTTTTAATTTTATGTCTACTTTTCAGGTCTGGTCATTATGACAATATTACCCAAACCAACCACAAGTCTTATCTGAATGAGCTTATGGAAACTTACTGTTTGAGCAGCTATGAAATGTAAAAGAGAGACCAGAAAAATGGTAAATAACAGGTCTCTTTTACATGGACCAAGAGAAAATGCCATGGAGAATTAACCTAGTTCCTGCCAAAATTGTGTTCAGCATCATGATATATTAAACTACATAAAATTTCATTTTAAAAGTATGTCAAAACAAAACCAGAAGAATGAGAATAGCTTCACGCCCAATTAAGGGCTTTTTGGAAAAAAAAAATCTTTCTCAAACAATAATAAAGAATTACACTAACAAAGGAGTCACCGTGGGGTGGAGGGCAAGAAGATGTGCATGAGAGGGGCTCACAGACGCCCCGAAGTCCTGCTTTTCTCGCTGGTGGTGAATGAGTGTTCATCTAATTCTTCTTCTAACCACACGAAGGCACTGCAATACTTCCAGGCATGGAATATTTCACAAGAATTACACTGAAATCAAAATATTAGACACTAAAATCTCCCCTGGCCGTTGGTGCTCCCTCTAATCATCACCAAATTTCTCTCCTCTTCAGTGAAGCACCTAGAAAATGTTAGCATTCCGGGTCTACACTTCTCCCTGCGACTCACTGTGCTTCAGGACAGAATCTCAATCCAAAAACTGCACAAAGCTGGGGTTGGTACAGTGTTTGCCTACCATGCCACAAAGCCCTGGGTCTGAGCCCTAACACTGCAAAAAACTAACAAACAAATACTAATTGCATAAAGGCCTATCTGGGTCTGGCCTCTTTTCCCTCCCCACAACCTCACACCTATCCTCCCCACCGCAGGAGCTCCAAACACTCTGGATCCTCCGGCAGCCTTGCTCCCACACAAGTCGATAAGCTCTTATGCATTGCTATGGTTTGAATGTGGTTTAATCACTTCCAGAACTCGTGTTGAAATCTGATCCACAATGAAACAGTGCTGAGCAGTGTCTGGTCAGGAGAGCTCCACTCTCATGAAAGGATTAATGCTGCTCAGGTAGAACTGGGTTAATTCTCTTGGAAAGGAGTTCTCAGAACTGGATTGGTTATCTTGAGGGTGGTCGTTATACAGCAAGGGTGCCCCTTAAATGGTTCCTCTCTTCTTCGTGTACCCATTTCCCACATGGCAAGATGTGGCACAAGGGCCCTGCCAAGAGTGGCCACCTGGTCTTAGACTTCCAGTCTCCAGAATTGTGAGCTAATATAAACTTCTTTCCTTATTGATCTCAGGGATTCAGTAATAGCAAAAGAAAGAGACTAAGACACTCATCTTTAAAAGATGTTTGTTTAGCAGTATTGAGGCTTGAACTCAGGGTCTACACCTTGAGCCATTCACCAGCCCTTTTGTTGTGAAGAGTTTTTCAAGATAGGGTCTTTCAAACTATTTGCCCAGCTGGCTTCAAACACTGTCCTCCTGATC